TATATAATAAAAGGCTAATTTGCAAATTGTCCCCTCAACCAGGAGTTTGACCTGCAGGCAGGCCAGCCAACCGCCCATATCCCCTCTGCCCCTGGTCAGGCAGGCCGAACCCCACCTATGCACGAATTCATGCACCGGACCTCTAATACACACACACACACACACACACACGCACACACACACACACACACACTCAAAATGAGTGGCCAGATTATTATGCGTTCAGAGATCATAATAATCTAGCTACTCAGTGTATATAAACTTGCTTAATTAGGCCTGCTTTCTGATGTAGCTAAACTTTTTCCAGTCCAGTGAAGCACCCAACTTCTCTTTCAGGTAATTGTTAGCAATACAACAGTAGATATCAACACAATGTAGATTATTATTGTAGATCACACAGGAAGAACAAAGGGTAAAATATTTAACTGCAACAGTATTTGATTATATTCTGCACAGTGAGAAAACCTGAAGTCATTTTCAAGGTCCACCATTTCTTCTTTTCAGTTGAGTCAAGTTTCTAAGTTTTCTAAATCTCTGTTTTCTGGCTAATAAAAAGGAATTAGGATTCCAATGAGTCTCCTATCTACCTACTCCAAGACTTCTGTGAGGATCAAATGAGATAAGGCATGGGAAAAACCCTTCACAGACATTTGGTTAAAATATAAAAATCTTTCTACCTGGCTATAAAGCAAGTTGTGTTCCTGGGCTGAACAAAGTCCAGGGAGGGTAGTTGCTAGGGAGAGAAAGCTGGGTGTTGCTACATCATGTCCTTACCCAGCACCCACAGCCACCATTTCTCTGCTGGGCTGGCCTGTGGGCCACATTTTGCACCATAGGGTCTCAGCAGCTTTAGCTGTGATTTGGTGGGCTGCCACTCCAGCCTGGTGTCAGGGCCTGTGTCCCACTGTGGGGAAGCTGAGTGTTGCTTTGTGGGTGCTAGGTCCGTGGTGCCATTTTTCTGTAAATGGCCAGTGCATGTCACAGCAGCTCCTATGTTGAGCTCTGCACCCTGGTGGTCAGTGCACATCATAGCAACTGGTCAAGTGGTTGGACACTTAGCATATTAGCCTTTTATATACTACCGTTTCCCCCAAAATAAGACATCCTCCGAAAATAAGACCTAGCACATAGAAAGATAAGACATCCCCTGAAAATAAGACCTAGCGCAACTTTAGGAGAAAAAATTAATATAAGACACTGTCTTATTTTCGGGGAAACAGGGTAGTATATAGGCTGGAGATCTAGTGCACGAATGCATGGGTGGGGTCCTGCTGGCCCAGCTGGGGGAGAGGGGATTGCAGGAGATTGGCCTGCCCGCCCCCAGTAAAGGGGGGGGGGGGGCAGTTAGGGGTGAGTCAGTGAAGGGCAGGGGCTGTGGGTGGTTGGCTGGATGGCCCCACCTCCGATTGGGATGGGGAGTTATTGAGGGTGGGGCCAGCCAGGGGGAAGGACTGTGGGCAGTTGGCCAGTTAGCCACATCCCTGATCAGGGTGTGTGGGCCGGTCAGGGGCCAGGCTGGCCAGGGGGAAGGGCTGCAGAAGTTTGGCGGGGAGGGGGGGTGGGGGGGGCAATAGGGGTCCCAATCAGGCCAGTTGGCTGCTGCAATAAGTGTGATAGCGACTAGTCGTTCCATCCATTCTGGTCACTGGGCTTTTATATAGAGATTATTGACTATATTTTCTGTGTTGTACTTTACAGCCCCATGACTATTCTATACCTGCTAATCTGTACTTTTTTTTTATTCTTATTGTTAAAAAGTATTACATATGTTCACTTTATCCCCCATTGTCCTCTGGCAGCCCACCCCCATTCCCTAGCCCAGGCCTTCAACACCCCCCTATCGTCTATGTCCATTGGTTATGGTTATGTGCATACAAGTTCTTTGATTGATCTCTTACCCCCCCTTCCACCCTCTGCCAATCGACTGCCTCTCTTTTTCTAAAAAATAAGGTAGTTTTTTGTTCTAAACCAGCGGTTGCCAACCAGTTGTCCGTGAGGCCTGAAAGATTGGCAACTGCTGATTTAAGGAAACCTTTGAAACAGCGTTCGCCAACCGGTGGCCCACGGGGTCCAAAAGGCTAGCGACCACTATTCTAAACTTTTTCTGTCACTATGAAGCATCGCCATAGAAAAATTTGAGAAGGTGTAGCTTTTAATGAAGATTATCATGAGTTATAGTAACCTAGGAATAATTCCTTTTATGGAGTTGGTGAGGCAATTATTGACTGAATATGGGATATATAATGAATACATACTATTTTTTACCCATCTGATTGCTACAAATTTGGAAGTGTAGTGATATCAAATGTTGACAAAATGCAGGAAAACAAGTACTTGTATACATAGCTGGCAAGAGTATAAATTGGAACAGCCACTTTGGAAGGCAATTTGACAGTTTCTATTGAAATAGAAAATGTGTGCCCACCATGATCCGATAATTCCACTTGTCTCTACCCTAGAAAAACCTTGCACATGTGCACAAGACATATACTAGTGTAAGAATATTTAATTATGGAAAAAAACAGAATGAGATAGATCTATATATGCCCTGATATAAATAAATCTCCAAGACCAGGTTTTAAAAAAGGCAAGTTACAGAATAATATATACATAAAGTGTAATTCTACTTATCTTTATTTTTTTAAAATATATTTTATTGATTTTGTACAGAGAGGAAGGGAGAGAGATAGAGAGTTAGAAACATCGATGAGAGAGAGTCATTGATCAGCTGCCTCTTGCACACCCCATACTGGGGATATGCCCGCAACCAAGGTACATGCCCTTGACCAGAATCGAACCTGGGACCTTTCGGTCCCCAAGCTGACGCTCTATCCATTGAGCCAAACCAGTTTCGGCTCTACTTATCTTTAATACATTCTAATAGGTATACACAGATACATATATGCACATTTGTGTGTATATACTATATATATTATCTATTGACATATAGTATACTAGAAATTTTCTACAGTATATTTATTAATTACATATGTAGTCCATGCACTTACATATATGTGTAAATAATTAGTCTATGTAAACATCTAGAAAAATATCTGGAAGGTCTGGATTAAGCCGATAACAGTGGTTACTTCTGGAATTTTGGCAGGGGTGGGGCAGTCATGGGGACTTGCGCTTCATATATTTTACTTGAACTTTTTTACAAGAATGTGTTCATATGTTAGTTCTATAAATATACACACATATACACATACATTATTGCCAGTTTAAATATGCAGGGTAACTATAAAACAATGAGATGGATTTTTGTTGGTTATACAGAAGTGGCTCAGTATATTTTGTGGAAAACAGCTCTTGCCAATTTAGAAAGCTTGTTTGATAAAGCCCCCCTAACCTGCCTCTGCTTCTTTGTGTGATTTCACTACTGGTCTAAGGCCTGCTTACAATCTTCTTGGCTGTCAATCACTCAGTCACTTATTTTCCTTTCATCTTTTTAAGTTATGATAACAGGAAAGAATCTGTTCATTGGGTTTTCCCAATCTTGAAAAGTACCAACTTAACTTTCTAGAATTTGTTTCCTAAATGCATGCAGAACTATAGTTGTTTCTGAATACTAGTACATATGTTTGAAAGTTCTGAATATAAGGATGTTTGTGCAGTCCTTACAGTTTATAAAATGTCTATTTTTTTTTTTTCTTATTTATATTCCCAACAACCCTGTGAGATAAATGGTGTTGTTACCTGTTTATATAGATGGGGAAATGCTTGGTGGTCCCCACGACCACTCCCAGGTTCGACAATTCTTCAAGGAGGACTCACAGGACACAACATATAGTCATAGTCACAGCTAAGATTTATTACAGTGAAAGGATACAAAGCAAAACAGCAAAGGGAAAAGGCACATGGGGCAAAATCTCAAGGAAATCAGGTACAAGCTTCCAAGAATCTTCTCCCAGTGGAATCACCCAGTATGTGCCTACTTTTTCCAGCAATGGGTTGTGACAACACGTGTGAAATGTTGTCTATCAGGAAGTTCCCCTGAGCCTAGGAATCCAGGGATTTTACCAGGTGTCATTTATGTAGATTTTCTCTGCCTAGCACATATCAAAATTCTAAACTCCCAGAAGGAAAGCATGTGTTTAGGATAAATTATATTTTTTTACAGTTTAGGCATAGTGAGCCACTCATTAGTTAGAGAATGGTGGAAACTCTGCCCAAATCCAAGTTTCCAGGCATGAGCCATGGGCTAGCCTTACAAGCAGTCCTTTTTATAGATAGTAGTCTGCCTGTGTGGCTCAGTGGTTGAGCATCAACCTATGAACCAGGAGGTCATGGTTTCATTCCTGGTCAGGGCACATGCCCAGGTTTCGGGTTCAATCCCCAGTGGGGGGTGCAGGAGGCAGCTGATAAATGATTCTCTCTCATCACTGATGTTTCTATCTCTCTCTTACTCTTCTTTCCTCTCTGATGTCAATAAAAATATATTTAAAAAATAAAGATAGTAGCTTCATGTCTGCTATATTAATTCTGTTCTGCACAAAAACTAAGGCAAAAAGAAATGAAATTACTTTCCTTAAGATATTTATTTTTAATTTTTAATTTTTATATTTTATTGATTTTTTACAGAGAGGAAGAGAGAGGGATGGAGAGTTAGAAACATTGATGAGAGAGAATCATTGATCAGCTGCCTCTTGCACACTCCCTACTGGGGATGTGCCCACAAAAAGGTACATGCCCTTGACCGGAATTGAACCTGGGACCTTTCAGTCTGCAGGCCGACACTCTCCATTGAGCCAAACCAGTTTCAGCAAGATATTTAGATAGTAAGTACTGGAATCAAGTCTTAAGCCCAGCCTTTTGGGTCCAAGTCCATTCTTTTCCTACTACATGACATTAATCTCCATCAAATCAAGTACAAATGTTTTTAGTATGCAATTGAAGTGGTGAAATTAAGTGCATAGTTTCTTAAACGTGGAATGTTCAAGTGATTTTCTTCCTTTGCCTTTAATGTCTTCTTTCTCTCTGACCTATAACATTTGTAGGATAACATAAAAAATCTAGAATTGGAAGTCATCAATCTACAGAAGGAAAAGGAAGAATTGGTTCTTGAACTTCAGACAACAAAAAAGGATATCAACCAAGCCAAGTAAGAATAAAGTAATTTTAAATAATAAATGTCATATCAAAGTTCCTACTATGTATGAGGAGCTGTGGAAGAAGTAGAGAAGTAAAAGAGCCATATCCTGCACCCACAAATTTTAAACTTAGTTGTGGAGGAGAGACCTACACAAAAGAAAAGTTATTTAATTGAGATTTTTAATAACATCTCATGATGACAATAAAAGAATGCTGTAACACAGCACATGATTAGTAGACACATAAATTTCCTAAGCAGTAATTGCTTTAAGAGTTCAGAGGCAGGAAATATCAGTTTAGGCTATTATGATCAAGGAAGGCTTTATAAGAAGTTAGCATTTGAACTGGATTTTGAAAAATTATCAGACCTACTAGACAACAACAATTTATCCCTGCGCTGATAGTAAATTAGTTTGTGAATAGAATTAATGTCAAGGCTAGTAAATGAAAAATCAATCTAGCCATTTCTTAGTTAAGAATGAAACCAAGATAGATAACCAGAATATGCTACTCCCTCAAACTTCTGCCTTATTGGCTATTCTATCTTCTTTTTACTCAGTGACTAAAATCTTTCTATTGAGTCTAAAGGTAATGTTTTTAAAAGTTACACTGAATGCTTACTTTCTATCTCATACTTATGTAATAACCATCAGAATTATTTCTTACAGCTAAAGGATGTGAAATGGCTTCAAAGAACCATCCTTTTAACACATAGTGGTATGGGGGTTGGCGTGTATTGAGGCAATTGCATTGTTATATACCCAAAAACAGTTGTTCTTTGACTCTGTATTAAGGACCCATTATTGAGGCAATTGTGATTGTTTGGGTGGTATTCATACTTAAAGATGGCTATGTAACGGCCACCTATTTTATATGTATCAGGGTTGTGAGCCTGGGAGTCTAACATTATGTCTTTTGAAGTCAGGCTTTGCTGTTTCTAGTCTTCATTTCTGCAACATCTGTGTTTAGGTTGAGTGAGCGCCGCCGCAAACGTCTCCAGGAGCTAGAGGGTCAAATAGCTGATCTAAAGAAGAAACTGAATGAACAGTCCAAACTTCTGAAGCTGAAAGAATCCACAGAGTGTACCATCTCCAAACTGAACCAGGAGATACGGGTATTAAACTCTATCCATGCATTTTATCCTACTGAAATTTATAAGCATAAGTGTTCTATATGGAATTATACTATAGAGGTGTTTTCATGTGAGAGAGTACCAGCAGGGTCATCATTTCAAGTGTATGAATCTCCACAAAAGTTCCTTTTGCAGAACATTGTTCTAGTGGATGTCTCAAATCTGAATAACAAAACCCTTCTTTGACATTCAGAGTTTAATGTTAGATTCTCTGAAACCAAAGGGAAAAAAATACCTTAATATTTAGTGGTAATATCCTGACCACCTTCCATGATCATGTGGAATAATTTTGTAAAGTATTGCAAAATGACAGACACCTAGAGAAAAAATTCAGCTATTGAATGTTTAACTTATCTGCAAAATAGTTGCTTCAGGCTACTTGTACTAAAACCTTTAGATATAATGGTTGCTAGGTGGATTTGTTCTTGAGGATTAGTAGTTATTTCCTTGAAACTTCATTTATATAGCATGAATTTAGGACTGGATTTAGCTTGTAGGTACATTTTTGCTTTTATTGCTTCAGAGTGTTTATTTGTGTAGTCTATACTCAGAGAATCTGGGCAAGCACAGCAAGGGGTATAATAAGCTTAATCATAAAATCTGTTGGCAGCTTTCTCAGCTTAGTTTTCTCTCTTAATGGTTAGTCTGTCCATATGCACATAACCTTGAGTAAATGCAGATGACTAATACTTGTACTGGTTTTTGTTTTTATAGGTGATGAAAAATCAACGGGTACAGTTAATGCGTCAGATGAAAGAGGATGCTGAGAAATTTAGACAATGGAAGCAACAAAAAGACAAAGAAGTAATCCAATTAAAAGAACGGGTAAGTGCCAGAGGGAAGGGTTACAGAAGCTGGATGGATGTGGGCAAAGGGTGGGGGAATGGGGACATCTGTAATAATGTTAACAATAAATATAAAGTTATAAAAAGAATAGGTAAGTATACTCCTCAAAGATAATAAACCTTTCTCTAGGCTGACTGACATGAAATCTTTTTATTTTATTTTAAATAATTGGTGTCTCCAAAAATGTGACACATTCATAAATTTAACAGCTATTTATTAAAAATCTACTGAGTGCAAGGTATTATTCACTATATATACCTTGGAAAATATAAAGATGAGTGCAATAGGAACTCTGCCCTTGAAGAAAGCCTGGTATAAGGGGAATGTGGGACATACACATGGTTTTCACCAATATAAAGAATAAAGAGATCTGTGCTTTACAAATGGTCTAAAACAGCTGTCACCGACCTTATGGACCTCCGTGGACCACCGGTTGGCAACCACTGGTTTAAAACACCAAAGTAATTAAGAAAGGGAAGCACACTTCTATAATAGTTGGAGTGAAAAGACAATAGGTGAACAAGCCTTGAATAATAGGGAGGATTTTGTTAGAGATAAATGCAGGCATCCCAGATAGATGGGACAGTAGGAAATGACAACTTTGTAGACATATTCAAGGCATGACTAATTGTCCAGGTGGAATAGTAGTAAAAAATTCTATTGGAAAGACAAGTTGAAGCTGAATTGTTAAAGATCCAAGAAGTTTGAACTTTATTTTGTTAGCAAAGTAAAGATTTTTAAGGTTTTTGAGAAACAATTTTATATTAGTAAAGTACTGCTTTAGAAAGATACATATGGGAGTAATGTGAGAACAAACTGAAGTATTGAGAGATCAGAAGCCAGAACACAAGTTAAGACATTATATCATCCCGAAAGATAGTAAGGGCCCAAATTAGATTGAGCAGCATTCTTAGAAAGCATACTGGAAAAGACTTTGATTTGGAGAAATTTTTAGAATTGGCCATAATGTGATATGTTGGGTCAAGAAATAAGATTAGAAATACTTTCAGAATGGTAGATAGCATGAGGAGTTCTGTGGACTTAGTAAAAGAAACACAGCTGACAAAGTTTATAAAAACAACTATTTATAAGGTCTGGAAATTGTCCTAAGGGTATAAACCAAATAAACTATTATTCAAGGAACTCTACTAAATCTCAGTAAGAACAGCAAGAGACATTGGCATTTGAGCTATGACCAACTCCCTTCCCCAGTTTCCATTCTATGGCTATTGTTTCCTCTGTTTCATTGCCTTCAGCTCCATGTTACTACACCTCTGTTTCAGGCAAGAGCAGCTAAGAGGTCTGTGTATCCCTTTTTCCACCTAGTCCCCACGTATAGGGTAGAAACTCTGCCTCTGACGCAGAAAGCCAATAATACTGGGGCCTGATTGTCCCAACCCATCTAACCATAGTATGTCAGTTCGATGTCAGGAGAGGCAAGCCAAGAAAAATAGAGTCTAGTGCCTCAGCCCATTATCCAACTCAAAAGAGAAATGTTGCTCTAAGAAGTAGGATGCTGTGCCTGCCTCCAGATCCTGAGCTATGGTACTGAGGTTCTGTCCCGGGAGAGAGGCTGGACATAGGAATAGCCATAGGAATTCTGCCTTCCGTAAGGGTACTGACTTTGTTTAGGGAAGTTAAAAACTGAAGGTTCTATCAACCAAGAATCTTATAGAGAGCAAAGTTTTCTTTCAAAAATGAAGACAAAGTAATGGCATTCCCAGATAAACAGAAGCCAGATACATTTGTTTTTAGAAAATCTATGTTACAAGAAATACTTAAAGAACTTCAGACTGAAGCAAGGGATACTAACAGTAATTTGAATCTGTAAAAGCACACAAAAACGAAGAGTGCCAATATAGGTATTATTAATATAGGTAATTCTAAAAGTATAATTATATATTACATTTTTTCTCTTACCTGATTTGAAAAGCAGTTGTATAATGTGTGTAATTATATCGATGAGCCTATAATAAATAGAGATGTAATATATTTTACAATAACAACATAAAGGAGCAAAGTTTTATTTGAGTAAGGAAATTACATCAAATAGTAACATTAATCTACAGGAAGAAATGAGGAGAAACAAATGGTAAATAACAAATTCTATAAACATGTATTTGCTTTCCTTTTAGCTCAGCTTGTTTAAAGAACATAAATTATATAAAGTAACTAGAGGCCTGGTGCACAAAGTTTGTGCACGGGGAGGGGGGGAGTGTCCCTCAGCCCAGCCTGCACCCTGTCCAATCTGGGACCTCTTGAGGGATTTCAACTACCCATTTAGGCCCGATCCCACCTGTCAGACATCTCTCTCACAATCCAGGACTGCTAGCTGCCACCTGCTCGCCTGCCTGATTTCCCCTAACCGCTTTTTTCTGCCAGCCTGATCACCCTCTAACTCACATGTGTCAAACACAAGGCCCGCGGGCCAAATCCATCCCGCCAGGCCTTGCAATGTGGCCCGCACCACACTGTCATCACTGCACTCCGCTGCGTTTCCATCACAATGACAGTTTATGACTGTTCAATAAACCATTCGGCCCACGATTTAGGCTGGATTTTAGATTTTGGCCCCTTCTCTGTTTGAGTTTGACACCCCTTCTCTAACTGCTCCCCTGCCAGCCCAATTGCCCCTAACTGCCCTCCCCTGCCGGCCTGGTCACCCCTAACTGCCCTCTTCTGCTGGCCTGGTCACCCCTAACTGTCCTCCCCTGCAGGCCTGGTTGCCCCCAACTGCCCTCTCTTGCCAGCCATCTTGTGGCAGCCATCTTGTGTCCACATGGGGGTGGCCATCTTTGACCACATGGGGCGGCCATCTTGTGTGTTGGAGTGAAGGTCGATTTGCATATTACCTCTTTAATATATAGGATAATTATAATGTATTTTGGGTTATATATTGACTAAAAATGCATAACAATATAACACACAAAAAGAAAAGAGAACAGAGCAATGCAGGAATAACATTTCTATACCTCTCTGGAATTAAGTTAATAGAAATCTGAAGTAGATTCTGATAAGATATTTATTATAAGCAGTAGAGCAGTCATTAAGAATGTAACTCAAGCCCTACTTGGTTTGGCTCAATCGATAGAGAGTCAGTCTGCCAACTGAAGAGTCCTGGGTTTGATTCCTGTCAAGGTCACATGCCTGGGTTGCAGGCTCAATCTCTAATAGGGAGCAGGCAAGAAGCAGCCTATCAATGATTCTCTCTCATCATTGATGTTTCTATCTCTCCTTCTCCCTTCCTCTCTGAAATTAAAAAAAAAAAAAGTAACTCAAAAATATAGTGAAATAATCATTAAACTAATTACTATGATATACTACAAATTTTTTATACTAGTATTCCCTTAATGTAAAAGAAAGCAGAAAAGGCAGAATAAAGGAACAAAAAAGATAAAAGATAGAGGAAGGAGGGTCAAGATGGCAGTGTAGGTAAATGTACTTACCTCCTCTCACAACTACATCACAATTACAGCTAAAATAAAGTACCCCCTTCATTCATAACTGCCTGAAATTTGGCTGAATGGAAGCCCTACAACTAGAGAATTAAAGAAGCCACAGTGAGACTGGTAGGAGGGGTAGAGGCACAGAACAGGCTGGTCCTGACACTGATGTGTGGCATGTTTTTTTTGTGTTTTTTTAATATATTTTATTGATTTTTTACAGAGAGGAAGGGAGAGAGAGAGAGAGCTAGAAACGTCGATGAGAGAGAAACATCAACCGGCTGCCTCCTGCACACCCCCTATCGGGGATGTGCCCGCAACCAATGTACATGCCCCTGACCAGAATCGAACCTGGGACCTTTCAGTCCACAGACCGACGCTCTACCACTGAGCCAAACTGGTTTTGGCTGTGGCATGTTGTTTATCGGGAGGGATATCTTGGTGACAGAGGTCTCCCATGAGGAGCAAGAAGTTCCAGCCCAACACCAGATCCCTCAGCCTAGGATTCCAGTGCAGGGAAGGGAAGTCCCCATAACTTTGGGCTATAAAAACCAGTGGGGATTGAGTCTGAGGGAAATGGAGGGCTGCTAAGATTCCCAGGCAGTTCGTCTTAAAGGGTCCATTCACAGACTTACTAGGACTCACTATTTCTGAACTCCAATACTGGGGCATTAGCTTAAAAGGATGAGGAACAAACAGGAAAGAACTAAATTCTCTGGCATCTGGTCAGGAACTGGAGGGCAACTTTATCCCAGAAGAAATGCTGGCAGATGCCATTTTTCCGTTTCAGAGACTTCCCCACCACAGAGCTGACTGGCAGGTGCCAGATCTGAGTCTCCACCTGGCCCACACAGTTTGCCCAACCCTGGTGATTCCCTGAGGCCCCATCCCAGCCATTTTTCATCCCCACCCAAACTATTTTCTGTGGCTTTTCCATGTGAATGACTTGTCCTGGCTCAGGCTTCAGACTTTTCTAAAATCTCTCAAAAAAGTAGCAGCTGACTTCAGTGTGCCCCATACCTCTTGATAAGTGGCCACAGGCCTGACTAGCAGCAGCCTGCCAAGACTCACAGCTTGGCTTCTCCTGGGCACCTCCAAGCCTAACACAAGTAGCATCCTTCTGTAGATTGCTCTATAGCTCGTGCCAGTTGGCCCAAAGCAGAACACAGAAAGTAGCTGACTTTGCACCTCCCAGGAGGCCCCAGAGCCAGTACACCAAGTGATTAGCTTCAGACCACACACCCTTCAGATTATAACCCTACCACATCTATAAATAATACACTAAAGGGTCAGACTCAATTAACACCAAAGCCCCACTGAAACAAGTCCTGCTCCATAGGGCTCTTCGACTATAGTCACAACTGATAATAACAGCCAATTGGCCTGAGATGAGGGGTTCCATCCCTCCCAGTGATACCAACAGCAATCAAGGCTCAACTACAACAGGACAGTGCACACTGTCCACACAGGAGTGTACCTAGAGCCCAGCTTAGGGGATTGGGGAGGCTAAACCACTGGGTCCTACAGTACACCTACTACACAAGGCCACTCTACCAATTCCAGGAGACATAGCAGCTCTACCTAATACATAGAAACAAATATAGTGAAGCAGCCAAAATGTGGAGACTAAGAAATATGTTACAGATGAAAGAACAGAAGAAATCTCTAGGGAAAAAAAAACTAAGTGAAACAGAAACAAGTAAACTACTAGATACAGAGTTCAAAACAATGATTATAAGGTGCTTAAGGAACTTAATGAAAGCTTCAAGGGACTTAGTGAGAATTTACAGGGAATCTACAGTAGAATAGAAGATGCCGAGAATCAAATCAGTGGTTTAGAATATGAGGAAGCAAAAAACACCCAAGCAGAAGAGCAAAAAGAAAAACAAAAAACAAAAAAAATGAAGATAGTGTTAGGAGCCTCTGGGACAACTTCAAGAATACCAATGTTCTCATCATGGGCAGGGAGGGTAGGAACGGCTGAAAAAGAAGATAGGTAGCAAGAAATTCAAAACCTATTTGAAAAAATAATGAGAGAAAACTTAACCTACCGGGTGAAAGAAATAGAATTATAAGTCTAGGAAGCACAGAGTCCCAAACATGATGAAACCAAAGAGGCCTACACCAGGACATATAATTAAAATGCCAATGATTAAAGACAATGAGAGAATCTTTTTTTTTTTTTTAATGATCAAGGGTCATCATTTTTTAAAAATATATATTTTATTGATTTTGTACAGAGAGGAAGGGAGAGAGATAGTTAGAAACATCGATGAGAGAGAGTCATTGATCAGCTGCCTCTTGCACACCCCCTACTGGGGATATGCCCGCAACCAAGGTACATGCCCTTGACTGGAATCGAACCCAGGTCCCTTCAGTCCCCAAGCCGACGCTCTATCCATTGAGCCAAACCGGTTTCAGCAAGAGAGAATCTTAAGAGCAGCAAGAGAAAAGCAGTTAATTACCTATACAAGGGAGCACTCATATGACTGTCAGCTGATTTCTCAACATAAACTTTACAGGTCAGAAGGTAGTGGCAAAAAAATATTCAAAGTGATGAAAAGCAAGTATCTACAACCAAGATTACTCTGACCAGCAAAGCTATCATTTAGAATTGAAGGTCAGATAAAGAGCTTCACAGTCAAGAAGAAGCTAAAGGAGTTCATGACCACCCAATCAGAAATACAAGAAATATTAAAGGGTCTTTTTTAAGAAAAAGGAGGGAGAGGGGGGAAAGGAAGAAGAAAGAAGAACAAAAATATGAACAATAAAATGTCAGTAAATACATATCTTTAAATAATTCATTCTAAAAATCAAAATAAATGAACAAAGAATCTAATGAACAAAATAAACGAATGAATTAAAAAAAACAAACTAATGAATCTCAGAGGGATGGGGGGTGCCAGTGGGAGGATATTAACCAAAAAACTTATATGCATTTATATATTACCCATGGACACAGACAATTGGGTAGTGAACTGCTGGTGTAAGGTGGGATCCAGGCAGATGGGGCAATGGGGGGGGGGAATCTATAATATTTTCAACAATAAAGATTTTTTTTAAATAAAAATAAAATTAACAGAGGAAATTACAAACAAAAAGATAAAAGAAAACAAAATGTAAGCTCAAAAACAAATCTAGTCATACCAATAATAGCATAATTTGAATAGATTAAACAATTTCTTCAAAAGGCAGATTGTTAGACTGAATTAAAAAATCAAGATCTATTAATATTGATATATACTATACACAGAAGACACATAATGAATTCAAAAATATTCATTATGTGAGGCCAGTATTTTCTCTGATACCAAAACCATACAAAGACATTCTAAGAAAAGAAAACCACAGACTAACATCTCATGAATATAGATAAATCCAGCAACGTATAAAAAGAATGGTCCACCATGACCAAATAAGGTCCAAAAATATTAAATTCAAGGCTTCTTTAACATCTGAAAATCAATTAATGTAATACACATTATTATTAGAATTAAGAATCATGTTAATAGACACAAAAGAAACATTTGATAAAATCTTTTCATAATTAACACACACAAAAATAAGTAGAAAGGAACTTTCTCAACCTAATAAAAAGGCATTTATGAAAACCCTGCAACTAGCATCATACTTAATGGTAAAAGACAGAATACTTTTCACCCTAAGATCAGGAACAAGACAATGATACCTGCTCCTGCCATTTTTATTCAATATTGTTTGGGAGGTTCTAGCCAGGGCACTTAGGCAAGAAAAACATATAAAAAGCATCCAGATTGGAAAGGAAGAAGCAAAACTACCTCTGTTAAGAGATGACAAAAAAAATCCTACAAAATCTAAAAAAAAAAAACTATTAGAACTAATGCACAAGTTTAGCAAAGTTGCAGTATGTAAGTTCAATGTGTGAAAATCAGATTTTTTTTTATACACTAGCAACTAACAATTTAAAAAATGAAATTAAGAAAACAATTCCATTCATAAAAATAAAATAACAATTTAAAAAATGAAATTAAGAAAACAATTCCATTTATAAAAGCATCAATAAAAATAAAATACCTGGGAATAAACTTAAAACAGTTGTAAGACCTAGAATTAAATATCTAAATGGAAAAATAAGCCATGTTCATGGATGGGAAAACTTCATATTCTTAAGGTGGAATATTCTCCAGATTGATGTACAACTTCACAATCCCAATCTAAATTCCACCTGACTTGTTTGCAGAAACTCACATTCTGATCCTAAAATTCACATGTAAATACAAGTGACCCAAAATAGTCATAATAATTTTGAAAAAGAAGAGTAAATTTGGAGATGTTACATCTATCACCTTTTTGTTAGTGTGTTGGAAATACTTTATACTCTCTTAGCAAATTTTAAGTAATGCAATATAGTTATTATTAACTATAGTCATTAAGCTATACATAGATCCCTAGAATTTGTTTATCTTATAATTGAAATTTGTACCCTTTGACTAACCTTTTCCTTATCCTTCTGTCCCTGGTACCACTGTTCTACTCTCTGGTTCTATGAGCTCGACTTTTAGATTCTACATATAAGACATCATACAGTATTTGTCTTTCTTAGCGTAGTTTAAGTTGACTGTATTGTTGCAAATGGCAGGGTTTTCTTCTTATTTATGACTGAATAATATTTCATTATGTATATGTACCACATTGTCATTATCCATTCATCTTTTCAGATATCCCTTCAAGGTATTGGTTTCATTTCCTTTGAATATAACCAATAGTGGGATCACTAGATTTTACAATAGTTCTATTTTTCAAAAAAAAAAAATGTTTGTTAATCCTAACCAAATGATTTTTTTATTGAGTTTTAGAGAGAGAAGGGAAAGGAGCGGGGAGGGAAGGACATTGATTGGTTGCCTCCCACAAACGCCCTGACCAGGGCCAGGGATCAAACCTATATCCCAGGTACTTGCCCTTGACCAGGAATCAAACCTGCGATGCTTCAAGGTGGGCCAGCGCTCTAAGCACTAAACATACCAGCCAGGGCCTATTTTAAAATTTTTTAGGAGCTTCTTGTTTTCCATAATGACTATACCATTGAAATACTTTTTATTTACATTATAAAGTTTTATTTTATCTGTCTGGCTCATTTCTTCTCAGGACCGAAAGAGGCAATATGAACTGCTCAAACTCGAAAGAAACTTCCAGAAACAGTCTAATGTGCTTAGACGTAAAACTGAAGAGGTAAGAAATTCCAATCTGCTAGGTCAAGTGTATTGCATAGATTCAGGCAAAGTAGTATCCCTTAAATGAGCCAGTGTCCTGAGAAACTAGGGATGCCAATCAGTATTCAACAACCAAGAATACTCACCAAGGATATGTTTTTATTGATTTTAGAGAGAGAAGATGAGAGAAAGAGAAATACCATTGTGAGAGAGAAACATCCATCGGTTACCTCCCATACGCACCCCAACTGGGGATCAAACCTGCAACCCTTTGGTGTATGGGACAACGTTCCAACCAACTGAACCACCCAGCCAGGGCAGAGGATACCAGTCCTGACCAGCAATTGCGAAGTCTTGATCCCTGTTTATATGTCATGAACTATGAACAGATAACCTGATGAAGTGGTACTATCCAAATAAGGATATTTTTTTTCTAATTGGGCTTGCTTCTTTCTAAAAAGTCACAGAATAATATTATATGTGACATTTCTATACACTTTCAAGCCTGCAGCACTTCCTTGAAATGGGTACCTCTCTTTTGGGCTCTAAAGCAGTAACTGTTGACCAATATCTGCTTTAGAACCTAGCGGAAGTACACATTTGACATGGAGACTTATAAACTTAGTTACTAGAGAAATTCAAACCATAGAATTTTTTATTTTTCTTTACTAATATGCTGAAAATTATGATGTTCTTCTTTTTACCTTTAAATTCAACATTACTGTGAGCCGTTTTTATTTAGGCAGCAGCTGCCAACAAGAGGCTCAAGGATGCTCTCCAAAAACAACGGGAGGTCGCAGATAAGCGGAAAGAGAATCAGAGCCGTGAAATGGGAGGCACTGCAGCTCGAGTGAAGGTATTGACAACTTGAATTGCCTTTTCTTTTTTGTATATTTGAAAAAGGTGAGCATGGGAAATAGTTTTCTTTTCATTTAGAAGTAAACTATAAAATATGAAGGTCTGCCTGAAAGCCTTATTTCCTAAAGATATGAATATCTGAATGGTTATTAAAGACCAAGAGTAGAGAACCCTTTGTATCCCTACCCCTTTTGAGGTTCAGTTAATTTTTTGACTTTTCTCTTGTGGTATAATTGACGTATAATAAATTGTACATATTTAAAGTGTACAATTTAATAAGTTTGTGTACAATTTAATAAGTTTAGACACAGACATGTACCCATGAAATCACCACAATAAAGATAACATAAACCTCCAACACAAATAAAACTTTGTGCCCCTTTGCAGTCCTTTCCTACTCCCCCATCTCAAGGTAACTATTAATCTGTTTTCTATAATTATATATCTCTTTTCATTTTCTAGAATTTTCTAAAAATTGAATAATACATTTTTTCTGGCTTTCATTAAACATAATTAGTTTTGAGATTCGTCTATGTAGTTGTGTATTTCACTACTTTTTTTAATCATTTTTTAAATTTTCTATTGCTTAAGGCAGGGGTCTTCAAACTACGGCCCGCGGGCCACATGCGGCCCGCAGAGGAGTCTGATCCGGCCCGCCAGGTTTTTTGGGCAGTGAGTGCAGCCGAGGTGTTACAATAGGAATTAGTAGTTCATATAGTCCGGCCCTCCAGCTCTCTGAGGGACCGTGATCTGGCCCCCACTTTAAAAAGTTTGAGGACGCCTGGCTTAAGGTATTACATGTGTACAAATCTTCCCATTGCCCCCCCCCACTCCCATACATGCCTTCACCCCCCAGTGTCTTGCGTCCATTGGTTATGCTTATATGCATACATACAAGTCCTACGGTTGATCTCTTATCTCCCCCACCCCTCCCCAACCTTCCTGCTGTAATTTGACAGTCTGTTTGATGCTTTACTGCCTCTGTATCTATCTTTTTGTTCATCAGGTTATAATGATCTTTATTATCCATAAATGAGTGAGATCATGTGGTATTTTCCTTTCATTGCCTGGCTTATTTCACTTATCATAATGCTTTTCAGTTCCAACCAGGATGCTGCAAATGGTAAGAATTCCTTTTTATAGCAGCATAGTATTCCATTGTGTAGATGTACCATAGTTTTCTGATCCTGTCATCTGCTGACGGGCACTTAGGCTGTTTTCCCAAATCCTAGCTATTGTAAATTGTGCTGCTATGAACCTAGGGGTGCATATATCCATTCTGATTGGTGTTTCTGGTTTCTTAGGATATATTTCTAGAAGTGGAATTACTGGGTCAAATGGAAGTTCCATTTTTAGTTTTTTGAGGAAACTCCATACTGTTCTCCACACTGGATGCACCAGTCTCCATTCCCACCAGTAGTGCACCAGGGTTCCTTTTTCTCCATATCCTCGTTAGCACTTGTCCTTTGTTGATTTGTTGATGATTGCCATTCTGACAGGTGTGAGATGGTACCGAGCTGTTGTTTTGATTTGCATCTCTTGGATAATTAGTGATTTTGAGCATGTTTTCATATGTTTCTTGCCCTTCTGTCTTCTTTTGAAAAGTTTCTATTAGGTCTGTTGTCCATTTTTAAAAGAATATATTTTATTGATTTTTTTACAGAGAGGAAGGGAGATAGATAGAGAGCTAGAAACATCGATGAGAGAGAAACATCGACCAGATGCCTCTTGCATCCAACGTACATGTCCTTGAACGGAATCGAACCTGGGACCTTTCAGTCCGCAGACCAACGCTCTACCGCTGAGCCAAACCAGTTTCGGCTGTTGTCCTTTTTTTTATTGGAGTGTTTATCTTCCTTTTGTTAAGTTGTAAGAGTTCCCTGTAAATGTTGGAGATTAAACCTTTATCTGTGAAAACATTGGCAAATATGTTCTCCCATTAAGTGGGCTTTCTTGTTGTTTTGTTGATGGTTTCTTTTGCTGTAAAAAAGCTTTTTATTTTGATGTAGACCTATTTGTTTATATTCTCTTTAGCTTCCATTGCCCTAGGAGCAGTATCAGTGAAGAAGTTCTTTTGGCATATGTTTGAGATTTTGCTGCCTGTGGATTCCTCTAGTATTTTTATGGTTTCCCGTTTTATGTTTAAGTCCTTTATCCATTGTGAGTTTATTTTTGTGTATGATGGTCTAGATTCCTTTTTTTTTTTTGCATGTATCTGTCCAATTTTCCCAACACCATTTATTGAAGAGACTATCTTGACTTCTTTGTATGTTCATGCCTCCTTTGTTGAATATTAATTGGGCATAGTGGTTTGGGTTGATTTCTGGGTTCTCTATTCTATTCCATTGGTCTATATGTTTGTTCTTGTGCCAGTACCAGGCTATTTTGAGAACAATGGCTTTGTAATATAGCTTGAAATCTAGTATTGAGATTCCTCCTACTTTGTTCTTCTTTCTCAGGATAGCTACAGCTATTTGGGGTCTTTTTTTTTTCCAGATGAATTTTTGGAAAATTCGTTCTAGGTCTGTGAAATATTCCATTGATATTTTAATGGGGATTGCATTGAATCTATAGATTGCTTTGAGTAGTATGGACATTTTGATGATGTTGATTCTACCAATCCATGAACAAAGTATGTTTTTGCCATCTATTTGTGTCTTCCTCTCTCTATTTTTTTCAGTGTCCTATAGTTTTTCGCATATAGGTCTTTTACCTCCTTAGCTAAGTTTATTCCTAGGTATCTTAATTTTTTGGTGCGATTGTAAATGGGATTTGTTTTTTAGTCTCTCTTTCTGTAAATTCACTGTTGGTGTATAGAAATGCCATAGATTTCTTGGTGTTAATTTTGCATCCTGCTACATTGCCAAATTCATTTATTAAGTCTAATAATTTTCTGATGGAGTCTTTAGGGTTTTCTGTGTACAGTATCATGTCATGTGCAAATAAGGACAGTTTTACTTCTTCTTTTCCAATTTGGATGCCTTCTTCTTGTCTGATATCAATGGCTAGCACTTCCAGTACTGTGTTGAACTGGAGTGATGAAAGCAGGCATCTCTATCTTGTTCCTGTTCTTAGGAGAAATGGTTTTAGTTTTTGCCCGTTGAGTGTGATGTTGGCTGTAGGTTTGCCATATATAGCTTTTATTATGTGGAGGTATGATCCTTCTATTCCCATCTTGCTGAGAGTTTTTATCAAGAAAGGGTGTTGGATTTTATCAAATGCTTTTTCTACATCAATTGATATAACTGTGATTTTTATCTCTCAATTTGTTTATGTGATGTATCATGTTTATTGATTTGCGGATATTGTACCATCCTTGCATCCCCTGGATAAATCCTACTTGGTCATGGTGTATGATCTTTCTGATGTACTGCTGGATCCAATTTGCTAGAATCTTTTGGAGGATTTTGGCATCTATATTTATAAGGGATATTGGTCCATAATTCTCTTTCATTGTGTTGTCTCTATCTGGTTTTGGTATTAGGGTGATGCTGGCTTCATAGAATGAACTTGGAAGTGTTCCTTTCTCTTGAATTTTTTTAGAATAGTCTGAGAAGTATAGGTTTTAGATCTTCCTTGACTGTTTGGTATAACTCCCCTGTGAACCATCTGGGCTATTGTTTGCTGGAAACTTTTTGATAACTGCTTCAATTTCTTCCATAGTCATTGGCCTATTGAGAGATGTTTAGAATCTTCCTGATTGAGTTGGGAAGGTTGTATTTTTTCTAGGAATATGTCCATTTCCTCCAGGTTTTCCAGTTTATTGGAATAGAGTTGTTTATGGTATTTTTAAACAATCCTTTGTATTTCTGTGGGGTCTGTTGTTATTATACCTCTTTTATTTCTGATTTTGTTTATTTGGATCCTCTCTCTTTGCTTCTTGGTAAGCCTGGCGAGAGGTGCATCAATCTTGTTTATTCTTTCAAATAATCAACACTCGGTTTTTTTATTGATTTTTTATATTTTGTTTTGCTTTTTGTCTCTATGTCATTTATATCTGCTCTGATATTTATTATTTCCTTTCTTCCGCTCACTCTGGGCTTTTCTTATTGCTCTTGCTAATTCTTTGAATTGTAGAGTTAGATTATTTACTACCATTTTTTCTTGTGTTTTGAGGTAGGCCTGTAGAACTATAAACTTCCCTTTCAGGAGTGCTTTCATGTGTCTTACAGATTTTGGATTGTTGTGTTTTTATTGTCATTAGTTTCCAGGATGTTTTTAAATTCTTTTATATATATCAATATATATATTTTTATTGATTTTCCACATAGAGGAAGGGAGAGGGATAGAGAGCCAGAAACGTCGATGAGAAAGAAACATCGACCAGCTGCTTCCTGCACACCCCACACCGGGGATGTGCCAGCAACCAATGTACATGCTCTTGACTGGAATCGAACCTGGGACCTTCCAGTCAGCAGACCAATGCTCTATCCACTGAGCCAAACCGGTTTCGGCAGGATGTTTTTAATTTCTTCTTTGATCTCATTCGTAGCCCAATCAGTATTTAATAGCATGCTATTCAGCTTCCAAGTGTTTGAGTGTTTTGGATTGTTTTTATTGTAATTTATTTCTAATACTAGTGGCCTGTTGCAGAAAGATTCCTGCAATAGGGCTTCCTGCTGTGGTTACCGCCCTGCCTGCTTTCCTCCCTTTTCTGCTGCCCTGCCTGCTTGCCTCCCTTCTCCCCCAGCCCCGCCTGCTTGCCATTCCTTCTCTCCTGCCCCCGCCTGCTTGCTTCTCAGTTTGGCTCTCTTCTGCAGCACTTGGCTTCTTTCTACACAGTCTTCAGTCTTTGCTCTGGCCTGGATATGCAAATTAACCACCATCTTGGTTGGGTTAATTTGCATAATAACTGATTAGCTGGTTGGTGTGGCTTCTGGACATAGGGAAGGTATGATCAGTTTGCATGTTTCTCTTATTACCGTGTTTCCCCGAAAATAAGACATCCTCCGAAAATAAGACCTACGTACAGGTTTTCTTCTGAGTGAAATATAAGGC